CTATCTATCTATCTATCTATCTATCTATCTATCTATCTATCTATCTATCTACCTCTCTCTCTCTCTCTCTCTCTATCCACCCATTATCTGTCTGTCTGTCTACCTTATCTATCTATCTCTATTCATCCATTATCTAACTATCTATCTATCTATCTATCTATCTATCTATCTATCTATCTGCTGTATCTCTCTATCTCTATTCATCCTTTATCTATCTATCTATCTATCTATCTATCTATCTATCTATCTGCTGTAATCTATCTATCTCTATTCATCCTCTATCTATCTATCTATCTATCTATCTATCTATCTATCTATCTATCTATCTATCTGCTGTATCTATCTATCTCTATTCATCCTCTATCATCTATCTATCTATCTATCTATCTATCTATCTATCTATCTATCTATCATCTCTCCTATCTATCGTCTATCTATCCATCCATCCATCCACCATTCCTCTCTCTCCATCTCTCTCTCCTATCTATCTATCTATCTATCTATCTATCTATCTATCTATGCCCAGAAAGTGGGCTAATTTCAAACCTAGGTCACCAGGGTTGTGTGAATGCAGGCTCTCTCACAAGGCCTGACTGTGTGATGTCTCCCTCACTTGGAAGCCACCTTTCTCAGGTCTGGGTTCAGAAGTGCGAACCCCTCGTGAGGCTATGTTTGACTCTCTCTTCTCTCCTTTGCAGGTGACGCCATGGCTTTGGGGCCACAATCTGGATTGTCTTTTCCGTGGGCCGCAGCGGAAACTTTGGTGGCGCTACCGCCAAAGGTAAGTTATGGGGTAGAAAGGAAACGAAGATTCAAGTATAGGTAGTCTTCAATTTAACGACCACAATCGAGCCCCAAATTTCTGTTGCTGTTACGTGAATTTTGCCCCATTTTACGACCATTTTTGCCTCGGTTGTTAAGTGAATCACTGCAGTTGATAACTTAGTAACCTGGTCGTTAAGTGAATCTAGCTTCCCCGTTGACTTTGCTGGTCCAAACGTCACAAAAGGAGATCAGGTGACCTCGGGACACTGCAACCGTCATAAATATGAGTCAGTTGACAAGGGTCTGAATTTTGATCACGTGACCGTGGGGATGCCACAACGGTGAAGTGTGAAAAACGGGTCATGTCACTTTTTTCAGCGCCGCCGTAACTTCAGATGGTGACTAAACAAACTGTTGAAAGTCAACTGTACTACCTGTAGTACATCTCAGTTCATCTAGCCTCATCTTCAGTAAAGCAAGTGTGTATCGGGCACATTGCATATCGGGAACTGCACTCCGCACACCACAAATGATGCTTTTAGGTATTTTCCCCAGGTATTTTTTCAAAGGCATTTTTTTTTTTAACCAGGGGAGGGAAGCTCTCTTGAGAGCAGCTTTTTGGAGTGATAATCAGTCAAGTTTCTGTGAGGGACTCTCTCCCCCACCCCCCACCCCCCACTGTTTGAAGCTATTTGCTGCCATCTTTATTTATAAATTTATTGTTTTATCGTAGAGAATAAAATAACAGAACAGTAAAAGAAACAAATAAAAAGAAACAAAGCAAAAACATACATCCAACCCAGGGGTGAAATGCTCCCGGTTTGGACCGGATCGCCCGATTCGGTAGCGATGGAGGCGGGTGGTTCGGAGAACCGGTAGCAAAAATCCCTGCCCCCCCTCCATGCCCAGCTGAGCCACACAATCATCAGAGGCTTTTAAAAATATTTTTAAAAGCATTTTTTCTATAACCTCTTTGGCCGAAAAAATGCTTTTAAAAGTAAAAAAAAAAAAAAGCTTCTGATGATTGCACAGCTCAGCTGGGATCATCAGAGGCTTTTAAAAGCCTTTTTTCTACAACTTCTTGGGCCGAAGAAGTTATAGGAAAAATGTTTTTAAAAGGAAAAAAAGCCTCTGCCGATCAGGCAAGTCAGCTGGGATCATCAGAGGCTTTTAAAACCGTTTTTTTTAGAACTACTTAGGCCGAAGAAGTTATAGAAAAAATGTTTTTAAAAGGAAAAAAAGCCTCTGCCGATCAGGCAAGCCAGCTGGGATCGTCAGAGGCTTTTAAAAACATTTTTTTACAACCTCTTCAGCCGAAGAGGTTGTAGAAAAAATGCTTTTAAAAGTTTTTTTTTTTTAAAGTTGGCCATGCCCACTCAGTCATATTACCCCCACCACCAAACCACGCCCACAGAACCGGTAGTAACAAATTTTACATTTCACCACTGCTCCAACCCTAACAACAGCAGTAAAGGGGAAAAAATAAAAGAGTCCAAAAAAAAGGAGGGAAAAGTGACTGATTAGATTTAACATTTAACATGTAGGATCCATCTTGGCTGAGTGCCAAAAGAAAAGAAAAAGCAATAATTTTTCCCTCTTTTATCTATATATCTATAATCTATATCTATGTCTGTCTGTCTGTCTGTCTATCTATCATCTATCTATCTGTCATCTATCTCTATCATCTATCCATCATCTATCTATCTATCCATCATCTATCTATCTATCTATCTATCTATCTATCTATCTGTCTCTGTCTGTCTGTCTGTCTGTCTGTCTGTCTGTCTATCTATCTATCTATCTATCTATCTATCTATCTATCTATCTATCTATGTGTCTGTCTACCTACACACACACACACAGAGACACACAAGCTTGGTTTCATTTTGTTTCTTTGTTTCACTGTTCTGTATTTTATTCTCTAATAATACAATAAATTTAAATTAAAAAAGAAAAAAATATATAAGAAAAAAAAGAAGAGAAAGCAGTCAGCAGGTTGAGCTAAACATTCTACCAATCGTCAAAGTTGTCCCCATTTCTGATGGGCTGGAAAAGCAGAGTAGGGATGGAGTTATGCCTCTGAGGAAATCTTGGGGGGGTTTCACAACCCCTCTTGCTTTTGACAAGATGCTTTCTTTGCAAATAAGAGAGTATTCAGGAGTGGGCTGCTGAGGGTTCGGGAGAACCACTAGCTAAGATTCTGTGCAGTTCGGAGAACCCCCAAATCCCACTCCTGGCTGGTCCCCCCCGGCCTTGTCCCTCCCAGGAGCCCCACGCAGCCCGTTTTGGATGCCGGTAAGTGCAGGGCATGCGCAGAGTCTCGGGGAAGGCAAAAAAAGGGCCTACCAGAAGTTCGGGAAGGCCGGAAATAAGCCTGTTTCCGGCCTCCAGTGCCAGAGGAGGCCATTTCTGCCATCCCAGAGGCTCAAGGAAAGCCTCTGGAGCCCAGGGAGAGCAAAAATGACCCCCCCCCACACACCGTGGTGCAGGAGGCTGGCTAGGCCACGCCCACCATGGCCACGCCCACTCGGCAACCGGGCAGAGAACCCCTTGCTAAAATTTTTGAAGCCCACCCCTGAGAGTATTCCCTCATTATGTCCCCATTCCCCCCCCGGCACCCCTTTCTGTCTCCTTGCCCCCAAATAACAACGCACTCAAGACCCCCTCTTGGGAAATACTCCTTGCATTTGAAGAAGCGTCGGTGTCCAAACGTCCTCCAGATTTTCAGGGCCACCCAACGTTTTCTCTCTTTTTTTTCTGCAAAAAAAGCAACCTATTCGGTCCTTGATTCTCTGTTGCGCTGTGATCTCCTGAGGGGAAATAATACTTTTTAAAAATTTAGAAACATTACATGGTTATTTATCTATGGAGATTCTCGGTCATCCGGGTCCTGGTTGTCCCAAAGGTGCTTTTTCAAGAGGCAACTGGACTTTCTGGGTTTTCTTTGAAGTCGTTTCGCTTCTCATCCAAGCAGCTTGCAGAGCTGAAGAAGCTTCTTGGATGAGAAGCGAAACGACTTCAAAGAAAAACCCAGAAAGTCCAGTTGCTTCTTGAAAAAGCACCTTTGGGACATTACATAGCGATTGCATCCATTTCTGTAGCTTCTATTTAGGTTTTTCTTAGCTCTGTATTCCACCTTTCCTGAGGAATACAAGGAAGATCAAGAGGCACTCCATTTCCCCTCACAACAACTGGAATAACAGTGTTGGACGGGACCTTGGAGGTCTTCTAGTCCAACCCTAGATTCCTCAAGCAGGAATACCTATACTATTTTAGAGAAGCGGTTATCCAATCTTTTCTTGAAAACCTTCAGTGATAGAATAGAATAGAATTCTTTATTGGCCAAGTGTGATTGGACAACACAAGGAATTTGTCTTCGGTGCATAAGCTCTCAGTGTACATAAAAGCTATAAGTGATAAATCATGATCATAGTCATCATAAAAATACATTCATCATAAATCATAGGATAGAACACTTAGTGGTAGTCATAGGATACTATTTTATTTTTATTTATTTTATTTTTATTTTTCAGATTTCTATACCGCCCTTCTCCTTTCGGACTCAGGGCAGTGAACAGGCAAGATAAAAAACATTTATACACAAAAGTTAAAATAGATTTAAAATAATTAAATAAATTTGGCCCGTAATTTAAAACATTTCATTTAAAATCCATATCAAATTTTAAAACCAACCATAAAATCAGGACAGCCCGGCTAACTGAAAAAAACAGGTTTTTAGGGCCCGATGAAAAGTCCGGAGTCGGAGATCACTCGTATCTCTGGGGGTAGATTGTTCCAGAGGGTAGGTGCCACCACAGAGAAGGTCTCCCCCTGGGGGTCGCCAGCCGACATTACCTGGCCGACGGCACCCTGAGGAGGCCCTCTCTGTGGGAGCGAACTGGCCGGTGGGAGGCAATTAGTGGCAGAAGGCGGTCCCGTAAGTACCCCCGGCCCTAAGCCATGGAGCGCTTTAAAGGTGATCACCAACACCTTGAAGCGCACCCGGAAGTCCACCAGGAGCCAATGCAGCTTGCGCAGGAGACGAGTCACATGGGAGCGCCCCGTCGCTCCCATAATCCCCTGCGCAGCTGCATTCTGCACCAGTTGGAGCCTCCGGGTGCACCCCAAGGGGAGCCCCATGTAGAGAGCGTTACAATAGTCCAGACGAGAAGTGACGAGCGCTTGAGTGACCGTACGTAGGGAGTCAGTGCGTAGGGAGTCAGTCAGGTCCCTTCCAACAGTGTTGGAAGGGACCTTGGAGGTCTTCTAGTCCAACCCTAGATTCCTCAAGCAGGAATCCCTATACTATTTTAGAGAAGCGGTTATCCAATCTTTTCTTGAAAACCTTCGGTGATAGAATAGAATAGAATTCTTTATTGGCCAAGTGTGATTGGACACACAAGGAATTTGTCTTCGGTGCATAAGCTCTCAGTGTACATAAAAGCTATAAGTGATAAATCATGTCATAGTCATCATAAAAATACATTCATCATAAATCATAGGATAGAACGCTTAGTGGTAGTCATAGGATACTAAATAAGCAAACAACAAAAATTCATACTAGGAAACTAAACAAAACAATATAAATCGTAAGGATGCTAGCAACAAAGTTATAGTCATAAGTAGAAAAGGAGACAGGTATTAGGAAGGATGAGAAGAATAATAGTAATACATTCTTAGTAAATAGTTTGACAGTGTTGTGGGATAGTGGGGGGGGAAACTGTCCTTATGTCTAGTTGTTCTGGTGTGCAGTGCCCTATAGCATCTTTTTGATGGTAGAAGTTGGAACAATTTATGTCCAGGATGCGAGGGGTCTGTAGATATTTTCACAGTCCTCTTTTTGACTCATGCAGTATCCAGGTCCTCAATGGAAGGCAGGTTGGTAGCCATTGTTTTTTCTGCAGTTCTAATTATCCATTGACGTCTGTGTCTGTCTTGTTGGGTTGCAGAGCCAAACCAGACAATGATAGAGGTGCAGATGACAGATGGAACACCCACAATTTCTGGAAACAATTTGTTCTCACAGGGAGGGACTACTCAAGGTACCGTCAGTCAAATTATGTCGACTGGCGACTCCCAGGGGGAGGGCCTTCTCTGTGAGGGCTCCAACCCTTTGGAATGAACTGTCCCCTGAGATACGAAATATCCATGATTTCCGTGCTTTCCGCCGTGCCCTCAAAACCCTGATGTTCCAACAGGCGGGGCTAAACATACGAACATGTGAATGTTTTTAAAATGTTATCTAATTTTAGGTTCTATTTAATTGGGCCAAACTATGTTATAATAATAATTTTAATTAGCAATTTTATGATGTTTGTGTATCTATATTTTTCTTGACTGTACACCGCCTTGAGTCCTACGGGAGAAAGGCGGTATAGAAATATAATAAATAAATAAATAAATAAATTCCACCGGCTAATTGTTCTCACTTGTTAGGAACTCTCTTTGAGGTGGGCCTGAGAAAGAGAATCAGGCCCAAAGTCTCTCAGGATCTTTTCCGGCTGGTGTTGTGGCCCGCCAGCGGCCTGCGCGGATCGTTGCTGATCCCGATGACGAGGAGGCTGGTGTGGTGCTGCGCCAGCAGCCTGTGCAGCCGGTGCTTGAGTCGGACAGCAAAGAAGATGTGGTGCTAAAGGCAGGGATTCAGTCAGGGCCTTCAGAACCTCCAGAGGCTCCTTTAAGTGAAGAGGATGAAGAGGAGGAGCCTCTTCTCAATGCACGGGCACGCAGAACTGCCAAAAGGCAGGAGTGGTTCCTCAGGAGGAGGTCTCCTCGAAAGTAAGGCTTGGGGCTAATTGGCCACGCCCTTAGCCTATTTAAGAAAGAACGCAGCTTGTAACAAGCTGCAGGAAACAACTTTAGTTCGCTAATCATCGTGTTGGGATTTCTATGCAACCTTGCTTCTGGGCTTTCTGCCAACTCCAGTAAGACTCTGACTATCTTATCTGTGGAATTCTGGCAGGCTGTTAAGAACGCTTATTAACAGCCGGCATTTGCTAAAACTGCGTTATTTGAGTAAACTAAGTTTTGTTCAGAGTTTGTGTGTGCTGTGTTCTTTGGGATCCGTAGCTGGGGCAGAACAGCTGGGGATGGATGTGAACTGGTTTCCCTGGTCTTAATCCTCCAGCATGATGCTTACTTCCTGCTCCTTATTTTTGTTTCAGCAATTTACCGAAGTTCTTCTGGAGAAGGTGTTGCAGTTCCACCTGCACTTCCTTCCAGATTGTGACTTGGACTTTCTCTTTCAGGCTGCTGTGTCCTTCAAAGAGGTGGCTGTGTATTTCGCAGAGGAGGAATGGGCCCTGCTGGATCGGGGCCAAAAGACCTTGTACAGGGAAGTCATGCTGGAGACGTATGGGATCGTGGCCTCGCTCAGTGAGTCTCCCTTAATCTGCTCTCGCTCCCTGTGTCTGTCCTTTGTACAGGTAGTCCTCAACTTACAACCACAATCGAGCCCAACGTTTCTGTTGTGAAGTGAGACCTTTGTTACATTTTACAACCTCTTTCATTGTAGTCGTTAAGTGAACCACTGCAGTTGATAAGTTCGTAACTCGGTTCCGTATTGACTTCCATATTGGCTTTGCTGGTGAGAAGATCGCCAAAGGGGGTCACATGACTTTGGGACCACAACGGTCATAAGTACGAGACAGTTGCCAAGTGTCTGAATTTTGATCATGTGATCGTGGGGAAGCTGCAAAGGTCCTAAGTGTGAAAAACGGTCCTAAGTCACATTTTTCAGTGTTGTCGTAACTTTGAATGGTCACTAAACGAACTATTGTAAGTCGAGGACTACCTGTATTGCCTTGGTGGCCTCAAGTGAGGCCATTTTGAAAAGTGTAAAGTCTTCCCGGGATGTGTTTGTGTGGAAATACCTCCTTTTTGGTTCTTTGACCACTTGGAGTTGAAGGACCTCATGGAGGGAGGTTGATCTGAAGCATGGCCACCATTTCAGGTCCTCCTTTTGCTGAACCCGTCTTTAATAAGGACAAGGTGGGAGATGTTTCTTCTGCCACCTTCTGCTAGAGATCCTTTGAGACAATCTGGCTCAGAGAAAGAATTGGGGAAACTGATGGTGATTCATATTTATATTTCTCTATCTTCAGTCAAGGAAAAGGGACGAGTTCAGCCAACAGCAATCAGAATTTCTTTCAAGTGCCAATCTAAACATGCTTTTGATAGAGTAGAGTAGAGTAGAGTAGAGTAGAGTAGAGTAGAGTAGAGTAGAGTAGAATTAATAGAATTAGAATAGAATAGAATAGAATAGAATAGAATAGAATAGAATAGAATAGAATAGAATAGAATAGAATAGAATAGAATAGAATTCTTTATTGGCCAAGTGTGATTGGATATGCAAGGAATTTGTCTTTGGTGCATAAGCTCTCAGTGTACATAAAAGCTATAAATCCGTGATGGCGAACCTATGGCACGCGTGCCCAAAGTGGCACCCGAAGCCATATCAGCTGGCATGTGCAGCCTTGCCTGTTTGTCTTCTGGGTTTCTGGCGCACATGCGTGCATGACAATCAGCTGTCCTTTGTGCCCACGGCAGTGCCGAAAACAGTTGTGAAGTTGGCTTTTCTGGAGCGCGATCCCTTCACGCGTGTGGCAGTGCTGAAAACTTGCTTGCGCATGTGCGCTGGCCAGCTGATCACTGGGCATGCCTGCGCGCTAAAACCTGGAAGTTCAGCTTTTCTGGAGCGCGGCCCTGATGAGCGCACATGCGTGTGTGCGACGCTTCCGCGCTACCTTTTCGGCACTGAGTTAAGCATTGTCAGCTTATTGCTCCCACAAACCGGGTTCTCACTTGCCGGAACCCAGAAGAGAGCAGCTGACTGACGTGCATGTGTGCGACGGAACCTGGAAGAGCAGCTGGCGATGGCTCGTGTGCCCACAGAGAGGGCTCTGCGTGCCACTTCTGGCACACGTGCTATAGGTTTGCCATCAGGGCCTATACCATTTCAGACAAATGGTTGTCCAATCTCTTCTCAAAAACCTCCAGGGTTGGAGCATTCACAATTCCTGGAGGGAAGTCATTCCACTAATTAATTGTTATCACTGTCCGGAAATTTCTTCTTGATTCTAGGTTGCTTCTCTCCTTAATTAGTTTCCATCCATTGCTTCTTATCTTGCCTTCAGGTGCTTTGGAGTATAGGCTGACCCCCTCTTCTATGGGGCAGGCCTTTAGATATTAGAACACTGTTATCATATACTTGCAATTCCCTAACGATTTACAAGAATGATCAATTGAGTACATTTGTTCCACTTTTCCGTTTCATTTGTGATCTAGTCTTTTCTCTGTCTTTCTGTCTGAGCAGGTTTGGTGACGGAAGATTTCCCTGCTCAAGAGCTGAGGTGTATCTCCTCCAGAATTGCCAAAGATGAAGAGCAGGAAGCTGGTGATCTCAAGGGATCAGGGGGACAGGAAGGGCAAAAAGGAGAGACTAGGAGGAATCTGTCTGACTTCCGGGCAGAAGACTCTTGTCGAAATTTAATTCAGAAACAGGAAGAAAAGAACAAATATCCTTCAGGTAGCAGGGCATTAATCTCTGAATTCAAACTCGAATTACACCACAGAATTTATACACGGGAGAAACTCTATCAACGTTCAGGATGGACAAAGAGCTCAAACTTTCTTTCGCATCAAAAAATCCATTCAAGTGAGAAATCTGATACTTGTTCGGCACATGGAAAGAACTTTCTTCAGATAGGTGATCTTTTGCCGTATCAAAGAATTTACGGAGAACAGAAAGTATTTAAATGCTCAGAGTGCGGAAGGCAATTCAATCAGAGTGCCTCTCTGACCCGACATCAGCAATTACACAGGGAAGAAAGACCCTATCAATGCTTGGAGTATGGAAAGAGTTTCGGTAAGAACACTTCCCTTATTTCACAGAGGGGAATTCACGCTGAGGAAAAACTGTACAAATGCTCGGAGTGCGGAAAGACCTTTAGCCACACCGCGCTCTTAGGTCAGCATAAAAAAATCCACTGGGGAGAGAAGCCGTACCTGTGCTCAGAATGTCCCAAGACATTCAACACGAACGCCGGTCTGGTTTCTCACAGGAGGATTCACACGGGGGAAAAACCGTACGTGTGTTTGGAGTGTGGAAAGTGCTTTCGGCAGAGAACACACCTTACGACCCACCGAAGGACCCACACCGGGGAGAAGCCGTATAAATGCTTTGAGTGCGGAAGGAATTTCAGTCAGAGTTCACACCTTACTTTGCACCAACGCACTCACACGGGAGAGAAACCATACCGTTGCTTTATGTGCGAGAAGAGATTCAGCAACAGGACCTACCTTAATTGCCACGAAAGGACCCACACGGGGGAGAAACCCTACAAATGCTTGGAATGTGGAAAGAGCTTCAGTCAGAGCACCAGCCTTAGTATCCATAAAAAGATTCACCAAGGGGAGAAACCATATGCTTGCTTTGTATGCCGAAAGAGCTATTCGTGTAAGAAAAACCTCACTTCTCATCAGAGATGTTGTGGTCCGCCAGCAGCCTGTGGAGCTGGCAGCGGAGTTGGACAGTGAGGAGGCTGAGGAGGAACATGGGCCAGTCCTGGAGTCGGGAAGGCCTGGATGAGAGCTCTGCATCAGAGGCAGAGATGGGGCCAGGGCCATCAGGGAGTGATGCATGGACTCCAGAGCCTCCAAAGTCATACAGCAGAGAGGCAGAGGAAGAGAAGAAACCTGTTTCCAGTACAAGCATGCGCAGAGGTGCCAGAAGGCACGAACAGTTAAAACAAAAGGGACAATTTGGCAGTAAGGCCTGGAGATGATTGGCCCCTCCCATAAGGCTTAAAAGAGAAGCAAAGGCACGTGGGCCCTTTGCAGGAAAACAACGTTGTTAATTCTGTTCCCAGTCGGCATCTCTATTTGATTCTGGACTCTGTGTGACTTTGCCAAGTAGGTCTTTGGCGGCGTGTCAAAGGAGATAAAGGTTGGTGATTATCCCGAAGGACTTCTCCCGAAGGACTTTTTGCAATTAATTGGGACTCAGCTGTGAATGAAAGTAATTCACAGCTGTTGCAATAAAAGAGGTTTTTGGGACTACTCGTGTGTTTTAATGACTCTGGAAGCCTAGATCACAACAAGAGAATCCACAGAGAGAGAAACCCTCTCAGTCCTTGGAACGCAAAAGAGTTTTTGAAGAAATGCACGTTTTGAATCCTGTCGGTGTAAAACGATTCAGGCGCTACAAACTTCGAAAAAGTTCAGAAATTGCAATGAAAATGAGATGGGACATCTGGGGAGCGGGTTAAAAAAATAATGATGGGGATTGCAGACCTATGCTCAAAGCCCTGTCTCTTGGTCTGTGCATCGTATGCGCCATATAACACAATAACAGAGTTGGACGGGAGTTTGGAGGTCTTCAAACCCCTTCTCAAGCAGGGGAGCCTATACTATTTCGGACAAATGGTTGTCCAATCTCTTCTTAAAAACCTCCAACACCCACAGCTTCTGGTGGCAAGCCATTCCACTGATTAATTGTTCAGTCAGGAAATTTCTAGATTCTAGTTCTAGGTTGCTTCTCTCCAGGGGTGGGTTCTAAATTTTTTTACTACTGGTTCTGTGGGCGTGGCTTATTTTGTGGGTGTGGCTTGGAGGTCATGTGACTAGGTGGGCGTGGCTACCTGGTCAGAGTAATTTCTGGAAGGTCCTCGCACTTAGGACCTGACTCATTTGTTTGCTTTTAACACTGATCAGCTGTAGGATGGCCCTTTGAAGCCGAGTTTAAACAGTTAAACTGTTTTAAGAGTTTAAACAGTTTTTTTTCCCTCTATTCATCAGCTGGGACTCAGGAGGCAGCAATAGATTGGGGGTGGGACCAAATAAAAGGTAAGAATAACGTGGGGGGGGTGGGAGGGCGGGGGTGGGAGAACCGGTTCGGTGACGTCATATCGTCACCGCTACCGGCTCGGCCAAACCGGACTGAACCAGGAGGAACCCATCACTGCTTCTCTCCTTGTTGAGTTTCCATCCATTTCTTCTTGTTCTGCCTTCAGGTTCTTTGGAAAATAAGTTGACCCCATTTTCTTTCTGGCAGCCCCTCAAATATTTGAACAGTGTTACCATGTCACCCGTTGTCCTTTTCATTAGACTAGACATACCCAATTCCTGCAGCCGTCCTTCATATGTCTCCAGTTGCCTAATCATCTTGGTTGCTCTTCTCTGCACTCTATCATAGGCACAGCTGCCATCTTGATTTTTTTTTTTATTTTAACCCTTCTGCAAGTCTAAGATTCACCTTTTGGAGATCAAAGACTGTTCCAGTGATAGGTTTACGAACCATTGCAATAATTCAGATATTAATAACTGAACGAAATGCATAATTTTCGAGTTGCCAAGTGTGTGTAGAGTTTTTGTTGGAAGAATAAACTTAATAAAATGACTCATGTGCCTAATGCATGGGGGGAAGGAAGGGAGAGGGAGGGATGCTTACCTTGTGATACAGACATTGCAGTCTTTAACAAATACAAGAAGTATAGAAAGCAGTACACGATGGACATAAAGCATGTGTGAGAATAAATGAAGTGTTTCAACCCTAAACAGGAAGTGAGAAATGGAAGTTTTCTGTTCAAGACTTCCTTCCTTCCTTCCTTCCTTCCTTCCTTCCTTCCTTCCTTCCTTCCTTCCTTCCTTCCTTCCTTCCTTCCATTAGCAGCCCAGAGTACTTAGTTAAGATAGGTGGCTATGAAGGATGAACAGATGTGTAGGGATTGAAGAATGACGTTGGGCCAAATGCAGCACACTGCTTCTGTTTCTGGTGTCATTGTATCTTCTTCCTGGATGATCTCATTCTTGCTCTGGTCTGTGTTATCTGACCTTCTGAGTGGGGGAAGAGGGAGGAGGATTGTCCAATTAGAACACTATTGCTTGCCTGCCTTTTTATCTGCCTGTGTAAAACTGTATAAAAAATAAACCTCTCTGCGAGAGCGGGAGAGACATCTTGGAACAGAGCAAAAGCCTGGACCTCTGATTTACAACACAGATGAAAGGATGGAGATGATGGATGGATGGATGGATGGATGGATGGATAGATAGATAGATAGATAGATAGATAGGGATGGATGATAGATGAGAGAGAGAGAGAGAGAGATGATAGTTGAAGTCCGCACATTTTAAAGTTGTCAAGTTTGAAAAGCACCGATCTAAACCTTTGGGCAGTTTCTGCAAAGGAGGGAAAAAAATCACACATAAAAACAAGCCTAATAAATATAATAAACATATAAATACTCCTAATAAATCATGCTCCCAGATGCCTCCTGATGATTAAACATCCATTGGTGTCTATTCATTTTTTCTGCAAGCAAATAGATGCAGATACCGCGTGGCAATGCTTAGGAGAGATACATGCATCTTATTAATTTATGGCTTGTTATTATTATTTTTTTTATTTGATTTATATGCCGCCCTTCTCCGGAGACTCAGGGCGGCTTACAATATTTACAATTTTTATTATTAATTCCTGGTTTTGAATCTTGCTATGGAAGCCACATGCACGGTGATGAAATGAACAGTGTATTTTATACCATCATTAAGCCATATTAAAAAAAAATTAAAAATCCTCATTTAGTTTCATTTTTTTTAAACTGGGGAACAATCTCCCCCTTTCCCCCTCTGCTAATCAATAGGCCAGGGGTGGGCAACTGTGGCCCTTTTACAACCTGTGGACTTCAACTCCCAGAATTCCTGAGACAGCTTGGCTCAGCTCAGGAATTCTGGGAGTTGAAGTCCACAGGTTGTAAAAGGGCCACAGTTGCCCACCCCTGCAATAGGCAGCTCCCTCAGGGAAGATCAAAGTCCTGGCAACCTTCTGGGCTTCAGAGGAAAAACTGAGCATGCGCCGGAGAACTTTTGCCAGCTGTTGGTATCTCAGTGCCGGATATGATGGAGGCTTCTCTGGCCGCGGTGGCGGAAGTGAGGTTCGCCGCCGGCTATGCGCCGCTCTAGCACCCTTAGAGCGTCTCTCTTGTTTTAACCCTCCAACTGCAATCTCCATAGTTCCAGCTTTGGCAGGTGAGTGTGTTGTATTGACCTGCGGGGGAAAGTCTGTGGGCTCCGGAAAAAAAGTGAAAGCAGTTATTTTTTTTGGTGCATGGGAATTGGAGGAAAGAATCCCATCCTCCTGAGCAAGCTTTGGGCATGCCAGCCTGCCTCCTGCAACTTTTGCTGCAGCCCTTCTCAAGACTGCAGTGTTTCTCAACCTTGGAAGCTTGAAGATGGGGGGACTTCAAGTCTTGAAGTCCCCCCATCTTCAAGTTTCCAAGGTTGAGAAACACTGTGCAAGAGGAACAGCTTCTCTTTATGGGCAAAAAGAAACAGAAGGGACCCTTAAGGGTTAATGCCAGGCAGGTAAGGGGCATGGCCTGCGATGCCACTTCCCCTTCCATTTCTTGGAGAGATCCAAGCAGTGGTGCAGAAGACCATCTGGACAGGTAGGAAGAGTAGGAGTCCCTGGGGTAGGAAAGGATCTTAGAGGTTGCAAGTAGATCCCGTCTCCATCTTGCAGAACGGAGCAGGGATGCCTTGCATTCATTCAATCAATCAATTCAATCAGAATTGACAGTTGAATTGAATTGAGTTGTTGTTCTAAGAGCTTTCCCCTTCTCAAATTGGAAGCATGCCCTTAACAGAACAACAAGAGTCGGGAGGGACCTCGGAGGTCTTCTTGTCCAACCCGCTGCTCGAGCAGGAGACTCTATAATAATCCTTACGATTTATATTGATAGGGTTTCCGGATTGCTTATTTGTCCCCTATGACTATCGTTAAGTGTTGTACCTTATGATTCTTGATGAACGTATCTTGTCTTTTTATGTACACTGAGGGCGTATGCATGCACCAAGACAAATTCCTTGTGTGTCCAATCACACTTGGCCAATAAAAAAAAACATCTAATTCTAATTTATTTATTTATTTATTTATTTAAATTTCTATACCGCCCTTCTCCAATATAGGACTCAGGGCGGTGAACAGCCAAAGTAAAAACAAGACATACAAAATCTAAAAACTGTTTAAAATAATTAAATATTTTGGCCGTAATTAAAACAATTCCAATTTAAAATCAGTTTAAAATTTGACTCAAGCCAGCCCAGCTAGTTGAAATAAATGGGTTTTCAGGGCACGACGAAAAATCCGGAGGTCTGTTATTGTACGTATCTCTGGGGTGAGGTTGTTCCAGAGGGTGGGCGCTGCCACAGAGAAGGCTCTCCCCCTGGGGGTCGCCAGCCAACATTGTCTGGCGGACGGCACCCTGAGGAGGCCCACTCTGTGTGAGCGTACTGGCCGGTGGGAGGCTATTGGTGGCAGAAGGCGGTCTCGTAAATACCCCGGCCCTGAGTCATGGAGCTCTATACCATTTTAATAATAATAATAATAATAATAATAATTTTATTTCTATACCGCCCTTCTCCCGAAGGACTCAGGGCGGTGTACAGCCTGTTTAAAAACACAAAGAAAACAACAATATAAAATTTAAAATAATTAAATAAGTGGCTCAGATTTAAAACCCCAATAAATTTAAATATCCCAATTTAAAAAACTATTGTGTTGTTAGTCCGGCCTGGCGGAACAACAGGGTCTTCAGTGCGCAGCGAAACGCCCGGAGGTCGGAGATCTTACGAATTTTAGACAAATGGGTTGTCCAGTCTCTTCTTAAAAACCTCCAGTAGTGGAGCGCCCCTAACTTCTGCAAACAAGCTGTTCTACTGATTAATTGTTCCAACTGTAAGGAAATTCCTCCTTAGTTCTAGGTTGCTTCTCTCCTTGATGAGTTTCCATCCATTGCTTCTTGTCTTGTCTTTAGGTCCTTTGGAAAATAGATTGGCTTCTTCTTCTTCTTTGTGGCAGCCCCTTAGATCTGAGGTCTTAGATCAGAGGTCTTCAAACTTGGGAGCTTTAAGGCTTGTGGACTTCAACTCCCAGAATTCTCCAGCCAGCTATGCTCCCAGAAGAGAATTCTGGTGTCAGGTTTCGATGTCATCTCAAATAAATTGCACTCCCAAACAATTAATCTTTGCTGAAATATTCCATTCATTGAGTACGACAGATCTGGCCCCGACTTCGTCATGGCCGATACTAACCCTCTGACCCCCAAACCCTTCCCTTTCTGTTCCCCAATTCTCATCTTCTCATTGGCCATCTTCCAAGTCAGTCTCCCCAGCTTCTGACCTCACCCCACAGGAATGTCTCCCCTCTCATCCCATCTCCTAGGGGATATTATCTACAGAGAAAATAAGTAGGTGAAAAGTCAAGCCTCATCTCCTCCTTTTTATGGCAGCATCAGAATGCTGACATCTGGGAGTTGAAGTCCACAAGTCTTAAAGCTCCCAAGTTTGAAGACCTCTGCCTTAGATATTGGAAGACCGCTATCAGGTCACCCCTAGTCCTTCTTTTCACCAGACTGGACAAACCCAATTGCAACCGTTTTTCGAATGTTTTAGCCTCTAGCCCCCTAATTATCTTTGTGGCTCTTCTCTGCCCTCTTTCCAGAGTCTTGTGGAGGTGCTTTTTGGATTTCCTTGAGAAGAAAAACCCTTGTTCCCAAAGATGGCTCAGAAAATCCCTTTGAGACAGGCTGGTCCTATGAGTGGAAAGTCTTCCGCCGATCCAAGGGATCCTTGGGTGCTGTGGAATCCTATAGAGAACAAGGCGCCACGAGACACTGCAGGGGAAGAAGAAGGAAAAGGGTACCACTCTGTCGAGCCTGAGGCTCCCGGGGAAGTCTGGGAACAGGCCAAGCAGAACATTCTGGAAGAAGAAGCCAGTTGGGTTGCACAACATCGCAATATCCGTGAGTTCTGCTACCAAGAAGCTGAAGGTCCCCGAGACATTTGCAGCCGTCTCTACCATCTCTACCGTCAGTGGCTCAAGCCAGAAATACACACAAAAGCCCAGATGCTGGACTTGGTGATCTTGGAGCAGTTCCTGACCATCCTTCCCCCGGAAGTGGAAAACTGGGTCCGTGAATGTGGAGCAGAGACCAGTTCCCAGGCGGTGGCCCTTGCAGAAGGTTTTCTTCTCAACCAGGCCGAAGAGAAGAGGCTGGAAGAGCTGCAGGTTGGGAAATTTCTTCTTGTTGGTTCAAACAGAGCGATGTTCAAACGTGCAGTGTTCTTGCTACTAAAGAACTCCTCTTGGGGACTATGGAAGGAAGAGATTTCAGTTCTCTCTGAGCTCAGTTGTCTTCTTGCAAATCTTTCATTACCCAAATTAGATAACATCATCACTGCCAGGACTAGCACTGATGATGTTCCCTAGTTGGGTAATGAAACATCTGCAAGAAGACAGCCAATCTCAGAAAGCACCAAGGGCCCCATAGTCCTCCCACCCCTCCTCCATTATGCAACACCCCCCCACCACCTTCTAGCACTCTAAAATAGAATAGAATAGAGTAACAGAGTTGGAAGGGACCTTGGAGGTCTTCTAGTCCAACCCCCTGCTCAGGCAGGATATCCTCTACCATTTCAGACAAATGGTTGCCCAATCTTTTCTTAAAAACTTCCAGTGTTGGAGCACCCACAACTTCTGGAGGCAAAAGCTATTCCACTGGTTAATTGTTCTCACTGTCAGGAAATTTCTCCTTAGTTGTAAGTTGCTTCTGTCCTTGATTAGTTTCCACCCATTGCTTCTTGTCCTACCCTCAGGTGCTTTGGAGAATAGCTTGACTCCCTCTTCTTTGTGGCAGCCCCTGAGATATTGGAAGACTGCTATCATGTCTTCCCTAGTCCTTCTTTTCCTTAAATTAGACATACCCAGTTCCTGCAACCGTTCTTCATATGTTTTAGCCTCCAGTTCCCTCCTCATCTTTGTTGTGGGTAATGAAACATCTACAAGAAGACAATCAAGCTCAGAGAGCACCAAGGGTCCTTCATTTCAACCCTGAGCTACAAATATTCTCCTTTATCGGAAGAGATTTTTCTTCCTTTTTCAGCAAACGGTTCCATTGCTCTTTCCAAATAATTTTCCAGGAGAGGAGTAGCATCAGGAGAAAAATTTATTTCTTTGTTAGATAGATGATTACTGTTCCTAGCAATTTCTAAAGATATAAGAAGCTCTGGCCTTCTTCCCAGGGTGTGTTATAAAGTTTAAGACAGAGGTCAGTTAGCAATTATTCATTTCTCTCTGTTGCTGTTGCTACTTCCTAGTAATTTCCAAGGAAATAAGAAGCTCAGGCCTTCTTCCCAGGATGTATTATAAAGTTTAAGACAGAGGTCAGTTACCAATGTTCCCTTTTTCTCTGTTGCTGTTGCTACTTCCTAGCTATTTCCAAGGATATTTCCGAGACAAATTCCTTGTGTGTCCAATCACACTTGGCCAATAATAACAAATTCTATTCTATTCTATTCTATTCTATTCTATTCTATTCTATTCTATTCTATTCTATTCCATTCTATTCCATTCCATTCCATTCCATTCCATTCCATTCCATTCCATTCCATTCCATTCCATTCCATTCCACTCCACTCCACTCCACTCCACTCCATTCCATTCTATTCTATTCTATTCTATTCTATTCAAGAAGCTCAGGCCTTCTTCTATTGTGAAGGCAGAGGTCAGTTACCAATGTTCCCTTTTTCTCTTGATTGTTGCTTCACATTCAGGAACCCTTCGTGGACAAGTTTGCTGGACCCTCTAAAATACAGGGAGATACGCCATATCGTTCTCAGGATCTGGTCTTACGAGGCATGTCCCAGGAGGATACAGAACTAGGTAAGGAATTTGTCTGCTGAAGCCCTTAGGAGTGTGCACTGTGTTAAGGATATTGTTGTTGTGTTACCAACCAGCAGAGTGTAGAGCACAGAGAAACGTTGCTGAGAGCAATGAATAAGAGATGTGCAAACTGGTTTATCAAGAGTTTACCTTATAGTGAAAAAACAATCTCCTAGTCTGTAAACAATCCAAGTCTTTGCCAGTTAAATCAGTCCAGTGATACAAAATCTTCTTACCACACAAACAGTAGTTGGGTAGAATAACAAGTTCACTCTGGTTCACAAACCACGATGGTAGCAGATCCATCCAACGATGATAGCACAATGATAGCAACTCCTCACACTATGGTAGCTTATCATCAACTGAATACGTTACAGTACCTTCCTTAAATACGTTTACAATCAGTGATTATCTAATTACAGCATGACTCAGCATTACAATGAATCAGCAGGAAAACTTTAAAGTCACACAATACATATTCATATTAAAGTCACAGAACACATATATTGCCTGGACAACTTGTTAGGCTCAAACCATATCCTAACACACTGCCTGAGCTACTTTCATTCTCAATTTTGTGTGTGTGGGGGGGTGGGGGTGGGAATTCTGAATGCGGTGAAGAGTTCTCAAGGATCCTCAGCTGCTAAAAGGATTTGTTTCTTCCAGAATGCCGTAGGCATTTTAAAGGTGCTTTCTCTGTTTTTTGTCTTACTCACAGAGAACGGAATGACACCGATGGTCCCTATGGAAACATCTCTTCTTTCTGGGGGTGCAGAATCCACAATTGTACTTCCAGCTCAGGTATGAGGACAATGTTCCATAGCACAAATGTGAGCTTTGTATTCCGTCAAAAGTTAATTGTATTTACAATAAAGGAGAATATTTATATGTCTGTGGCAGTGGTGAAATCTAAAATTTGTTACTACTGGTTCTGTGGGCATGGCTTGGTGGTGGAGGGTAATGTGACTGGGTAGGCATGGCCATTTATTTATTTTTTTTTACTTTTAAAACCATTTTTTCTACAACCTCTTCGGCGAAGAGGCTGTAAAAAAATGCTTTCAAAAGACTCTGACGATCCCAGCTCAGTTGCCTGATTGGCAGAGGCTTTCTTAAAAAGGATAAAAAGAGGTTTTTTTTTCTTTTAAATGCCTCTGACGAGCTGAGTTGCCTGATTTTTAAAAAGTCTCTGCCGATCAGGCAACTCAGCTTGGATCGTCAGAGGCATTTAAAAGAAAAAAAGGGTTTTTTTCTTTTAAAAGCCTTTGATGATCCCAGCTAAACCGGGTGATCATCAGAGGCTTTTTTTTTTACTTTTAAAAGCATTTTTTGGCCAAAGAGGTTGTAGAAAAAATGCTTTTAAAAGTAAAAAAAAAAAAAAGCCTCTGATGATTGTGCGGCTCAGCTGGGCAGGGATTTTTGCTTCCGGTTCTCCGAACCACCCGCCTCCATCGCTACCGGATCAGGCGATCCGGTCCAAACTGGGAGCATTTCACCCCGGTTTGTGGAGATTCTCAGTCATCCAGGTCGTGGCTGTCCCAAAGGTGCTTTTTCAAGAGGCAACTGGACTTTCTGGTTTTTCTTTGAAGACGTTTCGCTTCTCCTCCAAGAAGCTTCTTCAGCTCTTTTTTTTTTTTTTTTAATTTGATTTATATGCCGCCCTTCTCCGGAGACTCAGGGCGGTTTACAATGCGTTAAGCAATAGCCTTCATTCTTTTGTATATTTTATACAAAGTCACCTTATTGTCCCCACAAACTGGGTCCTCATTTCACCTACCTTAGAAAGGATGGAAGGCTGAGTCAACCTTGAGCCTTGGAGAGATTCGAACCAGCAGAAATTGCAGGCAGCTGTGTTAATGACAGGGTGCACTAAACCACTGTACTATCAAGGCTCTTGAGCTGAGCTTCTTCAGAGCTAAAAAAGCTTCTTGGATGAGAAGCGAAATGTCTTCAAAGAAAAACCAGAAAGTCCAATTGCCTCTTGAAAAAGCACCTTTGGGATAATATTTATAGCTCAGGATTGAAATGAGGAATCCTTGGTGCTCTCCGAGCACAATTGTTTTCTTGCGGACATTTATTACCCAAACTAGGTAACGCCATCAATGCTTAGCAGTGATGATGTTACTAGTTTGAGTAATGAAACATCTGCAAGAAGACAAGCAAGCTCAGAGAGCACCAAGGACCCCTCAAATTGTACTTTTCTTCTAGAATTCCCATGGAGCACACTTATCATGCTACGTTATGCTACTTCCTGACGGGCCACTCACAAGAAGTTCACGTAGGGATTCTTCTAGAACAGGGGTGTCAAACTCAATTTCATTGAGGGCCCCATCAGGTTTGTGTTTGACTTTGGGGTGGGCGTGGCCGGGATGGTGTGGCCAGTTTGACGTCACTTGTGTCAGGGGCACCTGTGGTGGCCCAGGAAGACCTGGTAAGGCAGGACTTCCCTCAGACCTTCCCTCCCCCAATTATAAACTCCTTCCTTCCTTCCTTCCTTCCTTCCTTCCTTCCTTCCTTCCTTCCTTCCTTCCTTCCTTCCTTCCTTCCTCTCCCTCCCTCCCTCCCTCCCTCCCTCCCTCCCTCCCTCCCTTTTCTTCTTTTTCCTTCCCTCTTCATTCTCCTTTCTTCTTTCCCCTCTTTCCTTATTTTTCCTTCCTTGCTCTCTTTCCATCTTTCCTCCTATTTCTTTGTCTTTCCTCTTTCCCTTTCTCTTTTTCTGTCTCTTCTTGGATGCTCAAATGCAAAAGGGGAAACATTTCTCGTTTTGTTTTGAGTTAGATTTGCTAGCCCCCTGGGCCCCATTTTTGCTGGTAGACGCCCCGCAGGCTGGCCCTTCGCTGTTTCCAGGGCAGCTCCGCGGACTAGATCTAAACACTGTCAAGCTTCCAAGTAATACGTCCTCTGAAATAAAAACCAAGGCGTCCATTTTTCTTTAAAGTCTATTTGTTAGGATCATATCAAATTGGCAAGGACTTGGTGTAATTCCGACTCTGGCTAGATTCCGTATTTACACCCAGTAAAAAAGCAAAAGTTTGAAACTTCTCCCCAGAGTCACGATCTCCAATCTATTCTCAGCCCATCAGCCCGGTGACTCCAAACTCCACCTTCCTCCAGCTGCAGGCATCTTCTCTGTTCCCACGGGAAAGGATGCCATCTAGACATAACATTCCCCCTTTATCTCTATAACCCCCACCCCCCTTTTCAACAGCTAGAGTGTGGCGAGCCTGAAATACTGTTAAATTCCTTTGTAGAAAGCCTAAAGAAAGCTAAGAAAAGAATAGACAAAAGCTACAATAAAATGTGGCTACACATACAGTACGTCATCTTCAGGGTCGACAAACACCACGCAGGCCGAATCTGACCCGCGGGCCTTGAGTTTGACACCACTGTTCTAGAAGGATTGAAATCACAGACTGATGTTGCTTGCTGGATCAGCCAAGCAATCCAGGGTGATAATGTCACTGTTGGCGTTCATTGTTCTGCAGAATCAATAAATGTGATAGAATATCCCTGAACAATTTATCAGTGAATTATCAGTCAGGCGTTTGGAGCTCGTCCTGTTTTCATACATAATTCCTCAGAGAGCGGGCATTAACTCCATTATGCATCTTTGCTTGGGAGAGTTTTGAGAGGAGAGAAGTTGAGAACCAGCCTGTGTGTTAATAAGAAACTGTTCCTTTTTCCTTCAGGAAGAAGTGGGTGTCCATTTCACGAAGGAGGAATGGGCTCTTCTGGATTCCAGGCAAAGAACTCTGCATGGAGAGGTCATGATGGAGACATCAAGGATCTTAGCCTGTCTCAGTAAGAGGCTCTCTGGGTTTTTGTTCCAGGTTGAAGAATATAAATCTCTCTCTAGAAACAACCAGCCTGTCAATTCTTCCCAAGAAATTCCTAATCCAGTTTTCTTGACTGGAAGAAACAGAAGAAAACTCTTTAACATGATGGCACCCCTAGCACAGATCCACATCAACTTCAGGGAAGCTCAAGGAAGAACGTGTGGCTTTTCCCAAATTATTCTGGGAGGATGGACAGTTCTCTGATCATCATTTCCTTAAATAATTTTGCTGATTGCTCTTTATATCACCTCCTTGTCATCAAAATGATACTGATAGAATCCAGAAAATTTTATCAAGTAGTTTTCACTAAGATTTCCAGAAATAGGATTTGTGTGTTTCTGTGCGATGGTTTCCAACATAATTTAATTTAACCTTAATTTTATCATTTATTTATTTATTTATTTATTTTAATTTGATTTATATGCTGCCCTTCTCCGGAGACTCAGGGCGGCTTACAATGTGCTAAGCAATAGCCTTCATTCTTTTGTATATTTATACAAAGTCAGCTTATTGCCCCCACAAACTGGGTCCTCAATTTACCTACCTTAGAAAGGATGGAAGGCTGAGTCAACCTTGAGCCTTGGCGAGATTCGAACCTGCAGTAATTGCAGGCAGCTGTTCTTAATAACAGGGTGCTTTAGACCACTGTACTACCAAGGCTCATCCATTAATCTAACCATAACTTTATCATTCATTTATTTCATCCCCTTAATCTAACCTTAAATTTATCATTCATTTATTCTTTCATCCATTAATCTAACTTTTATCATTCATATATTCTTTCACCCATTAATCTAGCCTTAACTTTATCATTCATTTATTGTTTCATCCACTTCATAATTGAATAGTAAAGTTTCCATTTGGTTTTTTTTTTATTTGTTAATTCTTGTGCCTAGTAAATGGTTGCTAAAAAGTCACCCCAAAATAAAAAATAATCTTAGTTTCATCCAGGTACACAGAGATGAAAGGAAACTGCAGAGATGGTGGAATTCAAAGTTGGTTCCTTAAATACAATAGTCTAATTTTTTTTCTTCACTTTTTCTCTCATGCAGGAGCTGAACAAGGGATAAAGAGCTATAAGGAGCCACATCTGGCACCAGAGCCAACCAGCAAAAATGAAATGGCTGAAGAGACATTTTGCAGTCAATCGAAACTAACGAGAAATGAGGGAAACCATCTAAAATACAGGGAAGAGAAAGCTTCTGCTCCTCCTGCTGTAATCCAAAACTTACAAATCCAGTCAGATTCGAAAGGAGAAAGAACAGAAAAGTGTCAGTTCTGTGGGGAAAGAATAATGGATAAAACAGATTCGTGTAAACGTTGTGGCACCCAGAATAAAATGGCACAAAATGGAGGCACAGGTTCCAGAAGGTATGACAGTCGGCCCAACCCCATGACTGTCACTTACTATATAGGAGAGAAACCGTATCACTGCACGGAGTGCGGAAAGAGCTTCCGTCAGAACTATCACCTCAGTTACCACAAACGAACCCACACAGGGGAGAAACCCTATAAATGCAGTGAATGTGGGAGAGGATTCGCGCTCAGCGGTGCCCTGACTACCCATAAAAGGACCCACACAGGAGAGAAACCTTATAAATGCCTGGAGTGTGGAAAGAGCTTCTGCAGGAACAGTTCCCTGATTTCCCATAAAAAGATCCACAAAGAGGAGAAACCGTGTTAATGTTAAGAAGCAAGGAAAGAGCTTCATCGTTCTACTGGACTTATTTCCTGGAAAAGGATCCATGTGATGATCCGGGGCACGGCAGCTGACAGTTCAAACCGCCTCTTTATTGCTCCAACTTTCCCCCAAACGCTCCCATGTTTCTGGCAGGTCCCAGAGCAAAGTGATAACACCCACACATATACCTCCAGCAGCTTCTGGCAGCAAATAGTCCAGTACAATGCTGTGAGCACAATGGCTGCAAAGCGAGAAATCCAGCAGGGCAAGAAAGTAACTCAAGGAGGGGAGCAAAGAACAAGGCAATTAATCCAAGAATCGTCCAACTTCGGCAACAGCACACAACACTCAATGAATTCAGCATTTGTTCCCGACAAATGCCCTCCCCCCCACAGTGTCTCCTTAAAGGCTCAGTCCCCAGGTGTGCCTTGTAAAGAGGGGCAGGGCACTCTCCTCCCAAGTCATCGGGTCAGCCTGCGCTGTTCCCGCCTTCTCTCCTCTCTCCGTGCTCGAGGATCAGGAGGGGGTGGTCCTTGCTCATCACCTGAGCTCTGTCTCTCATGTTCACTGTTTAGCCTCTCTTGTTCATCCTGCCCCTGTTCCTGCCTGCAAGCCATCCCAATCCTGAAAAGCCCTGGCCTGACTGGGCCTGCTCCTCCCCACCTTCTTCCAAAGCCAACGACGACGCCCCCTCGATCTCTATTGGCTCCAGTTCCAGTTCGTCTTCCTCCTCAGTTTCAGGCTCCGACGGGGGCATGACAACCCATTCAAGCGAACGTACATCAGTCAAAAGTGCATCATTTTCTCCCAGCTGTTTTTTAACCTCCACGCTCCAAAATGTGAGAAGACCAATGCAAAAGTCTAAAGTTGATGAAATAACGATTACTTATAGACTTATATACCGCTTCACAGTGCTTTACAGCAGGGATCCCCAGCCCCTGATTCATGGACTGCCACTGGTCCGAGCATGCCAGGTACCGGGCCACGCAAACAAGCAAAGCCCCATCCGTGGGATGCAGGCAGCACAGGAAACCACGCCCCGTCTGGTCCACAGAAAAACCTCTCTCCATGGAACTGGTCCCTGGCGGTTGGAGGCCACTGTTTAACAGCCCTCCCTACGATCCTCAATTTAGGACCATAATTGAACCAGTTATTAAGCAGGTCACCGCCTGATTTAACCAACAGTTTTTGCGGTGATTTAACAAACAAGCCTATTATACCTTTTTTCTTTTTTTTGCTGGAAACCAGAAATAAACATTGGTCATAAATCACAGTCACAGTCAGGTAACCATGGGAAATTAGAAATTAGACTGGCCACTCCCTCCCCACTCTGATACCCTTTTGTAAGGCTCTGAAGATTTGGTTGCACAACCAACCTCTTCTTTTTCCTCGGCCTCACCCCTAGTTTAAATCCTATAGTCCTGGCACTCGTGCATCTGATGAAGTGAGCTGCAGTTTTTTAATATGCTAGATTTCTTCTTCTTCTTCTTCTTCTTCTTCTTCTTCTTCTCCTCCTCCTCCTCCTCCTCCTCCTCCTCCTCCTCCTCCTCCTCCTCCTCCTCCTCCTCCTCCTCCTCCTCCTTTTCTTCTTCTTCCTCCTCCTCCATCCTCCTCCTTTTCCTTCCTTTCATCTTTCTTTCTGTGCTATCCTGGAGTAATATAACTCTCAAAAAAGATATACAGGTCTTCCTTCATTAATTTTTTAAAGGGCCAACAACTGCTCTGGAATCATTTGACAGAAGGCGCTCGGAGCAGCCACAAGCTGAAATTTATTTGAGGGAAAAGAAAGATCTTCAGTTGATAATAACATCTCCATAACATGCTACAAGTAGAACTAATTGAGAGCAGTGCTTAATTATTAACAGCCTGGTTAGAAACACAGCCTGAGGGAACTGACATTTCCAGCTATCTACTTTTTCTTTCTGTCTTGATCTTTACGATGAGGTGCAAATTTTCCCTTTTGGTTTATAAAATCAAGCTTTTATTTAGATCTGATTATACATATGATGAAGGGACACGGTGGCTCAGTGGTTAAGATTCTGAGCTTGTCGATTGAAAGGTCGGCAGTTCAGCGGATCGAATCCCTAGTGCTGCGTAACGGGGTGAGCTCCTGTTACTTGTCCCAGCTTCTGCCAACCTAGCAGTTCAAAAGCATGTAAAAAATGCAAGTAGAAAAATAGGGACCACCTTTTTTGGTGGGAAGGTAACAGCGTTCCGTGTGCCTTTGGCGTTTAGTCATGCCGGCCACATGGACCATGGAGACGACTTTGGACAGCGCTGGCTTTTTGGCTTTGAAATGGAGATGAGCACCGCCCCCTAGAGTCAGGAACGACTAGCATATATGTGCGAGGGGAACCTTTGCCTTTACCTTTTATGCATACTATGATGTCTTGTGTCTTCTCAGCACTACCAGCTGTGGTCTGAAGGCCTTTCTTTGCCTTTTTGCCTTTTCCACTGTTCAATTTCTAATTTTGTTTTAATGCTGTTATTTTAACATTTTAACCATGCCTTTTCATATGATTGTATAACTTTATTTGTAAAGTGCACAGAGTCACACAGGTAAGATGGGCCATGTTGAAAGTTGGTAAATAAATTTTTAAAAACCACTACTCCAAACTGGCTGTCTTGTCCTCATTGTTATTTTGGCACAATGAGGGTTGGATAATTCCAGAAAACACTATACAGGAGGTCCTCAGCTTACGACCACAATTGAGCCAAAATTTTGTGTTACTATATGAGATATTTGCTAAGTGAGTTTTCCCCCGTTTTACAACTATTCTTGTCACCGTTCTTAAGTGAATCACTGCAGTTGTTAAGTTAGTAATACGATTGTTAAGCGAATCTGGTTTCCCCACTGACTTGCTTGTCAGAAGGTCGCAAAAAGGGATCAGGTGATCCCAAGACACTGCAACCATCTGTGGTTTCCAAGCATCTGAATTTTGATCACATGGCCATGGAAACACTGCAACAGTTGTAAAGTGTGAAAAATTGGTCATACGTCACTTTTTTCAGTGCCATTGTAACTTTGAATGGTCCCTAAATGAATTGTTGTAAATCGAGGAAAACCTGTACATTACTGGGATGAAAATTCCTATAAAATTTCAGCCATCATCATGCTGATCACTCTGTTGGAAAAAAAAAATCCGGTCCAGTTGCAAGCCAGGAGAAAGACGCAGGAGCCAATGAATTTGGAGGCCAGCTGTAGGAAAGGAGGTTCTCCATTTATTTAGGAATCAGAAGTGAAGTAACTCAGCATCAGTTCTGGAACAGCTGACAGTCTGGCATGGGGAGTAGAGTAATTTTTATACCTGTTGGAAGAAAAATGCAATCCGGTTCCAAACCGAGAGAAAAAATGCTGGAAATAAAACGGAGGATGGCTACGAGGAAAGAAGATCTCTGTTATTTGTTTATCAAAAACCTCTGTGACAGCAGCACATTTCTGGGGTGGCTGACAAAATGGCTGAGTGAGTGGATGGATCTTTATAGGGTTCTGGGATTTGACGATTGAGATGCTCCAGGGGTTGTGCAATGTATTGAGCAACCCACCACTGCCTATTTGGTTTCCTGGGTGGTGGTCAGGGTTAAGGACAGCCTTGGGGAAAGGCAGGGAATGTACCGTAAATACAGGGACTACTTTTAGCTTCTATGGATGGTTTTCCTTTGCCTTCTCTGGGGGCATGGAAATAGAGATGGGTGGGGCGGGGTGCCTTATGATTCTTCCAACAAGTCCTAGTTGAAAAACATTATTAAGAAGGCAGATTATAGCAATACAGCTGCAATTTGTTCTTCAAACTAACTTATGTCTTAACAAAACACATGAATGAAAAACGGGGTTTTCCTAGTGTAGGAAGTTAGCACCCACCCCTTTCCTGGAAGAGTGAAATATTTTAGGAAATATGAAAAAGGCAGAATATTATATTTCCCTGGATGAGAAATGGAGAAGCATGTTTTGAAGCAGCTCCCATCTTCCTGCCCGCACCCTTTGTCAATGGGCCATTAAGGCTTGGGCCGGTCTATTCTACATAACAAAGATCTACCTCCTTCAGGCAGAGCCATAGTAGGAATTGCCAAAGATCCAACAAAGATAGGATTAGCCCTCTACACAATAGCAGCAGAAACTCACCACATGTGACCTGGGAAGCACATGTGACCATCAGCCAGCAAGGCTAGCTAAGAACCCCACCCCCTGGGAGTCTGACAACCAATCAGGATACTCTTTCGGGGCCACAAGAAATGCAAAGCCAGAAAGAGCATAAAAACCCGTGGACTCACTGTATTCCTCCCTTTTCTGTTCAGGAACTGAAGCCATGTGATCCTGTCCACCATTAAACCATCTTTCCAAGCAGTCTCCATGTTTCCAGTGTCTTTTTCCCCACTTGGAGCAGAACCTAGAAGGAGATTTCTTCCAACACTAGCTATAGTATAATAATATCCATGGAGGCCTCCTCCATTGCCCACATTGGTTTGCTTAAAGCAGGAGTCAGCTGTTGTGGAGATGGAAATTAAGAAACATCCCGATAGGGCAGACAGAATCAGTTTAATTATTTATTGCAATAAAGGATCAGATCCTGATAGAACTATCAAGTGTCTGAACGCCATATGATTATCAACTCAGAACTTTTATACAGTTTCAAACAAAGGATTCTGTGGAGTCAGCAATTCATATGGTCCTATACATTTATCATTTTTAATTGACATTTCCTAATTACTGAGTTTGCAGAACAGTTATAATAATTCTTCTAAAAAGTTACGGAAGCATAATTTTCAAATTATCTCTTGTTGAAACAACAATGTGGACATCTCTGTTACTTTGACCTCCAAGGTATAAATCACCTAGACTGTTCTTATCTGTGACAACTGAGAGGCCTTGAAGTAAGCGTCCTACTGGAAAGGAATGTCCCTGCCTGTGTTCTGAATATAATTGCAAGTAATTTCTCTCTTACAATATTAAGAACAAAGAGGGCCCTTCAGTGACTATCTAGCTGGACCCGTGTTTACTTATTATTTTATTTTATTTGTTACCTGTTCCACCATACAGCAACCTGCGGCTCTGGAGCCGCATGTGGCTCTTTCACCCCTCTGCTGCGGCTCCCTGTCACTCAAAATATGCATCACAACCGCCAATGTGCTATACCTGCTGGCATGCAATTTATTGAGCTTTTCAACCCCTGGTAGGCCAACCATGGATAAGTCCAAGAAAAGAAAAGTTTCAGAAGAAAACAGAACGTTTAATTCAACTACATATGCTAGTTTTGTGGCCACTCAGGAAATAGTCAGGGTAGGGTTTTGTGACTCCCGGTGTTTTCTTTTCTGTGGGAAGCAGGTCCAAATGGCTCTTTGAGTGTTTAAGGTTGCAGACCCCTGGCCTAAAGTGACACCGTTTGTCACTCTCCCATAATTTTTCTACCCACCCATCCTTTGCAAGGTCTCCAGGCAACGCGTGCAGGGTCCACCAGGGGGCAGCGTGGGGGAAGCACAGCATTGCAGTACTGGCACTTCCTCAGCTTCAGAATGGGACTGAGCATGCCCAAAACGCCTTGCCAGGGCTTGCTGCATCAAATAAAAGAAATTCTCTAGAAGGGGGGCCGGAAATGGAGACCCCGCTTGCAGTCTGGGCCTCTCTAGCCTGTGAGGACCTCCCAAAAGCAGGGGTGGGCAAATGTGGCTTTTTTACAGCCTGTGGACTTCAACTCCCAGAATTCCTGAGACAGCCAAGCTGTCTCAGGAATTCTGGGAGTTGAAGTCCCCAGGTTGTAAAAGGGCCACAGTTGCCCACCCCTGCAAGGAGCATAGGAAAAAGCTCCTGCATGGTTGCAAAAGGAAATCACAGTCTCGATTCTCTCCAAAATATTTTGGGTAGCTGCTATTTTTTTTTTTAGCAGGGAAAAACCACAGTATGTATCTTGTCGCTTAGATCAGCGTTTCTCAAAAACTGGGCAACTTTTAAGATGTACGGACTTCAACTCCCAGCAACCCTCAACCATCGAGCTAGCCGAGGGATGCTGGGAATTGAAGTCCACCCATCTTAAAAAGCTGCCAAATTCTAGAAAACCCCGATTTAGATGGCTCTAAAGACGGGGATTTCTTCTCTTAGGAGGCTATTTTTTCCCCTCTTACTCCCATCGCCTTTGCACCACTAACCCCGGGCAAAAAAACCTCCTCCGTTCCTCCTTTCTCTTGTAGGGGGCGCCCTCTGTAGACTGCTAAAACACATAGGGAAAACCGCGCATGCGCCTGATAGCTTGGCTGACACTGCTGCCATCTGCAGAATGCAGGTTTTTTTTAAAAATAAAAATAAAAATTGGGGAGGGGGGGAAGAGACAGACAGGAAGTATAGCGAGTGCATGGGCTAGAATCTTCTTCCTGGGCGTCATTGCCCTCCCTTTCTTCTCACCCTCGACCTCCCCAAAGGCAAAGGGGGCTGCAGGAAGATCTTGCAGGAACGGAGGGACACCGAGTGGTGCCCTTTTCCTCTGCAAA